GTTTTATGCTTTACATATATAATATAATTGTAATTTCATGTATTTTCTTGTCTGTCACAATCTTATATTCAATTTAGTAGTAATATCTATTTGTTAAATCTATAACTTATTAGTAATTATAGTGATGTAGAGAATTTGTTCAAAACTGGGTGGAAGCAGGATGATTTTTTACAAATGTAAGGTTAAGATGAAACATGAATCTCACTATCTGCCAGTAATTCTATGTGACAAAGGTAGGAAGTAAACAATGAAAGAACCTCTGAGTAGCCCTTAGTTTCTAAGCATTCTACTTACAAAAGTTTTTAGCCTTTAATAGATTACGCAAAATTCAAAACATCTGAACTATCGCTAATGATTAAAAGTTTAAACTATTAAACTCTAAGGTATTAACACCCTTAGTGGGAGTAAAATCAAGGATAGCCTTGAAGGACCAAATGATTTGTGCACAGGCTCTGTTAAGCTGAAATTGCTTGGTTATTTGGTTTCTTTAATTATGTCTTAACATTTTGGCGAATAATTATTTTTAATGTTTTTGAGTAATTACTATTTTCTTTTGTAATACAAGAAATTCTGATATGGTACATTACCTCCTCTCACATGTATAGGTATTTGTGTTCAGGGCTGCTTTCTATATGCAAAATTTTTCTGCATGTCACAAGCCTTGAACTCCCACATACTACATGACCAACTTGGTTCAACTCTTTCTTGCATGTAAATCATAATGCGACAACCCTCCACCAATAGGAGTGCAACACGCCCTCCTGATGCTTGAAACTTCCTCTATTCAATTCTTCCGAACTATCACTTATCATTAGGCAGTGATCGAGTGCAGATGTTTTTTGTTGTGCTCTTTGTGAAGTAATGTGTACTTGATTTATTCATTTGCAACAGTTAGTTTTTCTGCAGTAGTTTGCTGCAATAAGTTACCTTTGTTTATTGATTTTTTTCTCTCATTTTCAACATCTTTACAGTTTAAGATGAATTCCAAAGTTTGTGTTTTACAGCTTCTGATGTCATTACTGCTACTTCAAGTGCCATTACTGGCTTAAGGTCTGGGGGGGTCTCAACTGAGAATGTTTCGGTTATCATTCATCAGGAGATTGATCGTTATATGAGGCATCCTTTTTCTGCTGAGAATGTTTGGGTTCCTCTTGCACTGTCCGAACCTGTTCATGATAAAGAGGATTTTGTCAGCCTTTTCCCTCCTTCTTACTCTGCTGAGCCTTCCCATATATCTCATACAAAATCTACTAGGCCTAACTCAGCCATTTTTGGATATATTTTTTTCTAGTGTTTGAACAGGTACCAAAAATCCTAACTGAATACCCGGTAATTCGGGTAACCAGGTACCCTAAAATTTCCAACCACTATCAACATAACAGTTTCTAACATGCAGAAGACAAGACGATATGAACCATGATGTCACACATATTAAGCTTACTTGATATTTATTGTATTTATTTTTCTAGCAAATGTATATCTAAAACTGCCAATAATAAAAAGTTGTGAATGCTTGGATAGAAAAGTAAAAGAAAAGTGTAAATGATATAAGTGAAAGATGAAACTATGTTAACCCTGAAACTTTTTGCAGCCATCGTATATACTATAACATAGGCCTGCCAAGTATAGGCTACTGTATGTATTCTCACTATTCTGCATGAGGTATTGAAACAAATTCAAAGAAACATCTCTCCATTTTTAAACTTTTCTCCAATTAGTAATGAGCAATGATTTAGTGATCATGAAATGAATATCAAAGTATAAAGCTTTCAACTGTTTCTTTGATTGGATACTATTAACTTATTTATATTGGTAACTGGTATCGAAACAAAGTAATCTTTAATGGTTCACCCTGGTTGACTGTCATTACACAATACTCACGCTGTGCAGGCAACATTTGTACATGAAAATGATGCTGAGGTTGTAAGTATGTATTGAAGTTATTACATCTACAGCCTCCTGTCATTATAACACACACTGAGGGATTACAAAACTACTGAGTGCACTTTCACTATCAAAAAGTTAGCACAATCAATCTCTGGAGCTTACCTCAAATATTTCAATGACAAAACTTTGATAATTCACCATTAAGATTAGTGTGTGAATTTCTCACTTAGATTGTAGTTAAGTGAAACAACAACTCTTCAGCAAAGATATCTAATACCTTGAATTATGATGAGCAGTAGCTAGCTACAATTGAAACAAGTTAAACCAGTGATACAAAACTGTAGAAACTTTTGGAAGATCATATTGATATTGATACAATAATTTACAGTATTTAATATCACAAATTACACAGTTATCAGGCTTGAAAGTTTCCTATGGGTGATGGGCCTAATTCTGTCCTAGAACGTCATTGGTGCTGTGCTTCAGAATGGCGGTAACCACGAACCGATTACAGGTAGTGAATCATCCGATAATCACTAATTTTTTCTCAGCTGTGTTCCCTTTTCTCATTTTCACTGTTTTCTTATGACACTCTTCCTTCTTTTTTTACATGACACCCATCATTAGGGTCACTAATTTTCTCTCCTTCTCCTGACATCTGGGTTCATGTAGAGCATTTTGTTTCTCAATTGAGGGCTAGTATTAGCATGACTCATCCTTCATGGACTTCTGATCATTATTTTTTGGCTTATCAGAAAGCTAATCAGCCCTTTCTCAACTCCTAGTAGTTGGAGTTACTTTTGCCAATGTAGGGAGCTGTTCCTGACAATCCTATCTGTTTCTCCCACATCCATTTTCCCACCCTTATCATACCCTTACATCTCTCTTATAGTATTTGTCCAGCATACATCTCTTTTCTGAGGCACTTTACCAATACCCAGAGGAGTTTTAGGTGGATACATTTTCTCTCCTTACTCCTCGGTGCTACTGTCTTCTTTGGCTCTATCCCTCACATGTGGTTTCATTGCTGTTAGATTTTTGTTGAGAAGGATGCTGTCTTTTTTCACAGGTTCATCTCCCTTCCCCTAATTTTCTGGATGGCTCCTTTTATCCATTGGTTTGTTTTTGGAGATTTTCTACTCTTTGGACTCATGTTTGGACTCTGTGGGTCCACAGTTGACCCTTTAGTCTTTGGTTGCTTGTTTGTCTCATTCTGTTACCATGACTTCTCCCATCACTATTTCTTGTTCTGCGACCTCCTGTCCTTTACCACTAAGGGTTCGAAATTTTGACATGTGTTCCAGTGGCTATTTGGTAGTTTCCTGCCCAGTGGGGTCATGTTTTTCCTGATTTTGTTCCCCTGTCCAGGTGTCTTTCAATAAGATTGGGCACTTTCCTTTTTTCCTGGAGTCTCACCAGAGGTTGTTGTTGCATCCAGCTTCTCTGTAGTTCTATTCAGAGGGTGATGCTGCTTATATTTTTTAGATGTGATCTACTTCTGTGTAGTGGGACATGGAGGTTGCAATTGTGCTCAAGCCTTTGTGTGGTTCTATCCAGAGGATAATATTGCTTTGGAGTAGATCCTTCACATTTGCAGTTCAATCTTTTGATTGGGATCCATCATCCTACCATCACCTAGATGCTGGTTTCCAGTGAGAAGTTTTGGATAAGAGTTGGACCAGTCTAATACATATCCTCACACATGTTGGTTGTGTTTACTTTTCCTCACTCAAGTTGCCTCATGATCTCCACCTCCGTGCAGTGTGTTCCAGAGGATTAGGTTGCACCCAGCTTCTGTGTGGTTCTATCTGGAAGGTGAGATTGCTATATATTGCTCTAGGTGATCCACTTCCGTGTGGTGAGACCCGGAGGGTAGTGTTTTGCTCTAGCTTCTGTGCAGTCCTTTCTTGAGGATAATTTTGATTGAGGCAATGATTCTCTCTCTTGCACTCCACCTAAGGGAATTTTCACTACCTGAGGCTGATGTTGTACACTGGGATGCTTGTCTGATTGAGTTTGAGTTTGCTATGATTTTTCACATTGGCATATCTCTTTCTGCCATTATTCAGATGTAGGATTACAGGATGTATGGTTGGTTGGATATTTGTGTACATATGCCCATTTTGTTGATTGGTTTGCATAGTATATACTCATGTTTTACTTAACTTGAGATGAGGATGGTGTGTATCCTCCTCCTACTACGGGTCGGAGGTTCTGTTCCTGATACCACTTGGTTTTGGACTGGAGTTGATCTGGCCGCATATGGTCCGTCTCGCCCTAGCCATTCTACTCATTAGAACCCATCCATTTTCACTTTTCCTACATTTGTGTCTGTAGATGGTTTTTCTATAGTCTTTCTTCATCTACAGGATTGAGATTTCGGTATATTGTGGTTCACATTCCAACCCAACCCGTTTTTATTTCTGTATTTGGTTGTGTTCCTCCCATTTTCCACCTATATTTGCGACACCTCTTTCTACACTGGACACAGTGTATACTTGGTACAGAAGTGGTATGGTCTCCCACATGTGTTCTTCTCCCAATGGGGATCACACTTTAGGGGTGTTCTTCAAATGCTTTTGAAGGATACTTCTTTTTATCCCTTGCACCGATCCCTTCACCCTATTCAGTGTGGGATCCTAGCTATACATGTGAGCGGAGGTAATGTACCGTATTGGAAATAATTATTTTCCTATACCGAAAATAGATTTCCGATTGGTGCCTACATCCTCTCACACTTCCCACCCTTTCTCCCTACTGAAAACTGGTGCTTCATTTTCTGTATAATCTCAAAGTGATAGATTGGTAGAATCGAATAGAGAGGAGTCGCATGCAACAGAAGGGTGTGTTGCACTCTTATTGGTGGAAGGTTGTCATGTGATGATTTACATGCGAGATGCAGTTGAACCACTCTGATCATGGTGTATGTGGGTGTTCAAGGCTTGTGGTATGTGAAAAAATTTTTTGTGTATAGAGGGCAGCACTGAATGAAAATAGCTATTGGGAAATATATTTTAAGTATAGGAAAATAATAACTTCAGCTATTTAAAGGAAGACGTACTAAATCATGCAATGATAAATAAATTTTTCCTTTTTTTTTTTTCTTTTTATAGCATGCAATCAAGAAATGTTGAAACAGGCAGCTTGCATTGGAGTTATTTATGGAATTGTTGGGAAATTTCAAGCTTATTCTGGTAAGGTATTTTCATTATATGGAACATTTAAATATAGAAAGAAAAATTAAAATGAGACCTCCCCTTGACCCAAAAAAAGATATATTTATAAAGAAATAATTTTGTAGGTTACTTCTTCATCCAATTCAAACACAGCCTTCATAGACCCATACATCATTCCAGGAAAGTTCCAAAAAGTATTAAAACTAAATGCACAAACTGCATCACCAGACCAATCACTCCACAAAGCAACAAAAAAAATTTTGAAAAAAAAGTCTGCATCCTGGTTACCAAAGCTTAAAGTAGTTACCCCTAATATTAAAATTTGAATTTATAACTTTTCAACTCCAACACATAACCCTGTCACAACTGGTGTATACCTTTCAGGTGTCAAAAGCACACCTACATGTAGAATTTCAGAATTTTAGTAAATATACAAGTTTAATTCTTTTTCAACAATTTTTTTACTCACAAGTGTCTTAGAATTCATTTCTAGTAAAATTTAGTGTATTTCAGAAAGAAACACTTGAAAATGTTGCAAATTTAGTTTCTGCATAGCATCCAGTTTTTATCAGTTATGTATAAGTTTATACTTATATAATGATGATTTATGCCTTTATTTTCAAGTAATTTTTTGCCTTTGTCTGTGGTTTTATTAGTACAGCTCTTTGTGGCCACCCTTTTATGATGTTACAGCTTGTCTGAACAATTACTAATAAAGCTCATCTTTAAAAATATCTATAGCAAACAGATAAGAGATTTTTAATTTGTATAGACTGAGTGTAGTCTAGTGTTTAACTCACTGGACTATATAGATCCATAGGTTCATGTCTTACATCTTGTCATTGAGGCTATGGGTGCATTTTAAGAGTGATGGTCAAGTCTTGGTTTTCGAATTAGAATTGTCCAACAGTTGGCAGTGAGTGTTGTTGTTGTCTAGATGTCTTCCCTCTAACCTATCAGTTCCAAATTAGGGACAGCTAGCACAGGGAACCTTTGTTTAGCTTTGTGCAAATGTCTGAAAGAAGTGAAACATATTATGATTATATTATGCTTCATTATAATAGTAAAGAAAGTAATTTGTGATTTGTCAACATATTAGCTACCAGGAGTCCTTTAGTGATGAATAAAGGATCTTAATGTAAAATCTTAGGACCAAACCACAAACTTGGATGCTTTTCTGTTGTTTCTTTTGATATTCTGTTCATTTCTGACAACATTTTTGCATTAAATTATACCTGAAAAATATAGGAATTTTCTTCTATGACAAAATATCAAGTAAGTTTTTAGTTAGGGATAGTGAGTATGGTAATCAGTTGGAAATGGTTTGGATGATACTGTATTTTTACATAAATAACCAACCCCTCGGTATAACCTGCACCTGAGGAAAAAAGTGTTGTAAGAAACTTTTAGGCACATATTAGCTGCACTTATGTATACTATGCAAGCCAGCAACACAGACAATATTTGGAAGACAAGAAAAATTAAAGAATTATTTTACATTACGGTAACACAATAAAACCTTCACTAAACAGAGATTGTGAATTAGAGGTGAGTAACCTGTGGCTACCATTGGTTGAATCTTCAGAAAGTCTTTTCACCAATTAGAAACAGAAATAAAACATCCAATCAGAGTACATCTTCCACAGTTTACCAGGATACTATAAAGACTGACAAAACCATACTCACACTGATCTGAAGAGGAAAGGCAGAAGACTTTCTAAACATCATCCTCTATACTTGTGTTTCTACAACAGGCAGTTGCCATCCATTCAACTAATTAATCGTGTTGGCTCCTGAATTTTATATTGTTTTAAGAATTAATCCAGATTATTATAAATTGCTATAAAAATTACTGCTGTACAATGTCTGCTGTCAATATGAGGAAGAGAAAATGTAAAAGTTAAATGGCCGAATTTATGGAAAACAAAGTGTCTTTAAATTTGATTTAAATAAAACATTGCCAAGTTGTGGACATACATTCATATATTTTCATTTGAAAGATGTAATTTTATTTTCTTCTGTAGCTATACGGGGAAAACTATACTTATTTGGTTGGGAAGGAACTTATTGTTTACTATAGTAATTTAATTATTTCATATCAGATTAGATGTATGCATATAACATCTGCAAAAGGACTCATGAAATATATTACAATTGAACTTACTAAAAAAGCTTTCATCTTGTTGATAATTGAACTCAATTCCTTGTGGTTATGTCACATGCTGAAGCTAATCACATGTTACAGGTTATGGTGATGCTATTGGACACACTGAAAGTGAAACCTACTTATCCTGGAATACATGAGAAAGTTGCAATTGTAATCTATTAAATGATGATAAATACAATCAAAGTATTCATATTTATACTTTTCCTTTGACCAGAGAATAACTGGGGTTGTAAATAAACGTACTTATTGGCCAATTGATGAATCACTTCACATGTTGAATAAGAACAACATAAATGAATATTCAGAATAGAAAATTGGTGATTTCAGTCTTAGAAACAAAAGAAAAATACCATATTACCCGATACGAGTCTATCCCACAGTTGGTGTTTTTGAAAACTAATTTAACATATAGCTTGAGGGTTATTTGTGTAAACATATGGTACAAATCCGTTTTTATTAATTATTATTGTTAAATTTATCTTATTCACACCATAAAAATGAATAAAAAACTTGCTATGTATTGAAAGAAACTATATTTATAAGATACAAATTGATCTTGACCAAGAATAATGACAAAAATCATGATCCAATGGCTGATAAATGTAACAGTAATACTATTGTGAAAGATGAGGTCCTAGCTCATCGATAAATTTTTGTCAGTTTTGCTGTGTTTTTTTATGGTTTATAGCTCCAATTAGAAAGATGAATTGTGAAAATAAAAATTCTGATAAGTTATTCTCCCTTTGCTCACAAGATTAGGTTTTCTCGTTTTGTGCTGCCCTCTATATATGAACATTTTCAGAAACACATGCCACAAGCCTTCATCCTCCATCTGTTGGAAACACATCGCTCATGCAAATCATCATGCGTCACCTCTCCACCAATAGGAGAGCACATGCTACAAGCCTTCATCCTCCCTCTGTTGGAAACACGTCTCATGCAAATCATCATGCATCACCTCTCCACCAACAGGAGAGCACTACTATCACGTGATGCATGTTACCCCCTCTATGTGCCACTACCAAACTATCACTTTTAATTTGGCAGCTGCCAACTTCAGACATTTGTTTTATATTATTCAGTTACCTTAAAGTTTTTTATTTTTTTTCATTTTTATATTTTTCTTAACTTTATTTACTACACCTCCCAGTTCTGGAGTTAATATTTTAATATAGCATTACTTCCTTGTGTTTCCCGTTTATGAATTTTGAAGTTACAGTCACCACTTCACAGGAACCCTGAGGGCTTTTCTGCTGAATTCCTCTCCATCCTTACTTATGTTTTGGCTTGTCTGTCATCTTTAGCTCTCTTGCTTCAAATGTGGTTTGCTTGTTTTGGGGATCTGTTTGGCCGTGATGCAGTTTTAGGTGGACCTTTCTCCAGGCTCCTTATCTGAGGGATCTCCACATGGTGCCATTTTTGCAATGTTATGTGTTTGACTCGGTTCCTGAGTCTTTGGAGTTGCATTCTACCCTTACTAACTTGGTGGCTCATTTGTCGCAGTCGAGACTGAGCGCGACACCTCTTCCTGTCCCACCCTCTCGCAGTGCTACAGTTCAATGATTTACTCGACATTGCATGATCCGCCAACAGCAGTACTGCTGACTATGTGTGCAGTTCATTTATGGGGACCTTTTCTTGCTGATGTCTGGGTTCACAAGGTGCTCTCGGAGTTGTACATTATCCCCCTTTCTCCACCCTCCATTACCCAGTATTCCTCTTCCCTTCCCTTCTCCTCGGGATTCCTCAACACACTAGTATCTGTCAGAGGCCATTCATGACCTCCTTGCACAACAGACTATTGAACCAGCTCCACCAGGTTCGAAGGGGTTTTACTCCTGCCTGCTTGTGCTTCCCCAAAAACTGGGGATTGGCATCCTGTCATTGATTTATACAATCTCAATCAGTATGTTCACACTCATCTCTTTACCATGGAGACATACCTTTCTCTTCGGTGGAACCAAGGTGGACATTTCCAATGCTTACCTACACATTCCTATGGTGGATCTTTCCTATTGATATCTTTGGTTTGTCCATCAGGGGTTTGTGTACCAGTTTCGAGCCTTACCTTTCAGTCTAGCCTTAACACCATACATGTTTTGTCATGTGGTCCATTCCTTTGGTCGACATATACATGCCATGGGGTGGTGCTTCCATGTTTATATGGACGACTGGCTTCTTCTTGGTCATTTTGAATGGGAATCGGTCTGTCACACTTATCAGCTCCTAGCTTAAAGCTGCACAAGTGGACTGGTTGGTCAAATTAGAGAAGTCTTTCCTTTTTCCTACCCAATATCTTATCCATTTAGGTGTTTTCTTCAACATATCAGTCAGGCCCAACCTTCTAATCTCCGGCTCCATTGTATGGAATGGGCCATTTGGAAAGCCCTGTCTGTTCCCTCACTTACAGTTCACGAGGTTCTATTACTTTTGGAGATGTGGTCCTCCATGACCACTCTCATACCCCTGGGCAGGGCCCACATGTGGCTTCTTCAAAGGCTCCTTCACTATCAATGGAACTTTGCCCGGAATCCCTTGGATACTTCTGTATCCCTACCCTCATCCCTTGTAGACGATCTCCTTTTGGAGTTGAACATAGCCCACATGTCAGCAGAGATCTTGCTTCCTCCTCCACTGCCAGATTTCTTTGATGGTATGTCATGTACCAGGTGCTTTCAGTCTCATAGCCAATTATTTTCCCAACTGGATCGTGTTTATCCCACAGAGTGGTCCCTGCATCCTGCCATTTTTTGGTGGCTCTATCTGCATCTGCGTATGTCCCATATCGATTCCTTTGCCAAACTACCTCGGATTTGGTCCCTGGGCCTCCATCCTCAAGCCTTGTCTTCCAATGCATTCAGCCAAGATTGGTCTCATCTGTTCCTTTATGTTTACCCTCCATCAACCCCAGTCAATGGCACTACATTCTGTGCCATCCATCCTCTGTCTTTATGCCTGGCTTTTGTCAGGTCCTTGTTGAGTTCTGGTTTCTCTTGCAGAGTAGCCTCACATTTAGCCTGTTCTATCGCTCTTCTTCATTGGCCATCTATCAATGCAAATTGAGTGCTTATTGCATCTGGGCATTGACTTCAGATTTCTGGGCTTTTCTCCCAATAGTTGCCTGTATCTCCAAGTTTTTCAAGTGATTGTTTTAGAGGGGTTCTTTGGTCTACTTGATTTCGGGGTTTTGGGCAGCATTATCTCATATATTCCATTTTTCCTGCTTCCACAGGGCCTTTGATTCCTCTGTTCTTTCCATGTTGATTCATTTACTTCCTTCCAGCTCCATTGGCTACCAGGGTGTCCATTGCTCCCGGACTGGGACATTAATCTGGTCTTTCATACCCTCACTTTACCTCCATTTGAATCTCTGTCTATGTGTTCCCTGTTTCATCTCTCTTTGAAGGCATATTTCCTCCTACTCCTGATCTGAGGGCTCGTAGGTCAGATATTTTCACCCTCGACAGTACCAAGACCTTGTACTGCTCCTCCTACCTTATTCTTTATCCAGGTCATGCTTTCCTTCCCAAGACCTCTGTGGCTCGAGAAGGTCAGTCTGTCTATTCTCTATATCTCATTTCTATCCTCGTCATGATTGGGATAAACTCTTCTGTCCTGACCATTTGTTATATTGCTTGCATGGCTTCTTTGCAGAGTTCTCATTCCCACCATTTTATCCCTTGGCAACTTTCTTTTACCATGATCTTTCCCTGGTTACCCTGACCAATTAGGTTCAGTGTTTGATCCAGTTGGCCTATTCTTCCTTATCTCCTTCTCAGCCTGATCTCTTTCATGTTTCCTCACATCAAATCCATCACCTTACCTTCTCCCTTGCCACTCTTCTTCATTGGCCATTGGAAGAGATTCTGAGATTGGGCATGTGATGACTCCACACACATTCATCTCCCACTACCTACACCACATTGCTGTTTCTGCTTCCTCAGGGTGTTGCCTGCTGCCTGTGGCTATTCCACAGACTTTGGCATGGCTGTGACATAAAGTAATTCCTCACTAATGCTTTCTTTTCTTTCAGGGGCCCCTGCTTCAGCTTCACTTTGGATCCTCCTCTGTGGTGAGTGGTACCTGACCAGATATTCTGTCTTTACTTGGAATGGGTTCCACTTAGATGGCTATAACCATTCACAGATATCTTGCTATAAAATCTGCACTGTAAGCGATGTTGATTCTTATAAATTTTTCATGACTATGTATGCTCACCCTTGAGATGAGGTATTTCACAAGATCACTAGAGTGTAAATTCCTTGTGATAATTGCATCATAATATGCCTGTCTTGAACCATACCACCCATGGATGGCTGAGGTAAAGCAGAAGGGGATTGCTGCCCATCCCTGCTATAACTAGATTGAATAAATCGGTGTGGTCTGCTTTTCAAAATAGGGTTTTGTGATCACCATTGCAATGTCTTGGGTGTTGCAGTCCACCAGTGCTCTCTACTGCACTTTTCCCACCTTTCTTCCAGTGAAGTATGGGAATCTTTACCACTTACCAGTTCCAAGCCACTGGGGTGGTTGACCATGGAGGCAACTAGCTGGATGGGTTCGACAAAGATGGTTATAACCATTCAATTCAGAGTAGAGCAGTGGTGTTCTGCCGATGTAGAGGGAGTTACAAGATCCTCCAGATGAGTAAGTATTTCCTAGAGTGGAGATGCCCAAATGCAGTTCACCCTTCCATTGGGTACCCTCTTCTTACCCTCGCATGGATATTGGTACCCAGCAAGTGAGATTTTGGAGATTGAGTGAACCAATCACATAAGTCCTCACACAGGTTTTGGGTTGTCCATCTTACCCTCTTGACTTGTCTTCCGTGTTGTGGGTTGCAGAAGGTCTACATGGCCTTTTTCCTCTTCTGTCCTGGGTTTTCCCTCCTTGGGTGATGAGATTGTTACCAATCTAAGGTTGTTGATTGATTTCATGGTCACGGGGGGTTGAGTGCATGTGTTGGACTTCCCTCAGATTCCAGATGACACATTTCCGGATCCCTGGCATTAGGCTACCCTCTGAGTTCCTGAAGTAGAATGTTAGGTTCCCTCTTGACTCTGGGACTTTAAGTGAAGACAATATGATCCTCATCCTACCCTCGTGAGGATCTGGGTACCCAGCGAGTGATGTTTTGGATTTAGTTGATTAACCAAGTACAGTCTGTCATGTCCTAGCCACTTTACACCGTGGGACACATCCTCACTTACCCACCATTCATTGTGGTATTGAGTGATTCTAATTTCTGTGTAAGATCACATTGCTAAAGTATCTTCTCCAATGTGGATATGCTCCTTTTAATGTTCCATCATGTATGGTCCTCCTGATCATGTCGATCTTCTTAATAAAGAGATACCTGGCTCAGATGTGGTGGGGTACCCCTCCTTAGATCATCTAATCTGTTCTTCTCATTTCGGGTCAGCATAAAACGAGAAAGCTAATCTTGTGAGCGGAGGGAAGTACCTATCAGAAATACATTTTCATTTAGGAAAATTATAACTTTGGTAACTCTTTTCCTGCCATGGGCACATGTATGTCCTTCTTTTGCTGTATGGGTTATTTAAGTTTTGTACCATCACAAAGAAAGAGTATATCTCTTCAAATGTCCCAAAGTTTTCAGTTTCAAGTTTCAGATAAGCATTGAAATATTTTAACGTGCATCTTTTTGTTTTTTATTGCATATCTAAAAATACACTGGCACTAGGAGAGTTGTTTATCTATAGATGTAGTGATGAAATTGTTAGTACAAAATTAAACAATTTGAAACTGACTTGATATATATAAATTGGATTTCTGATCAATGATAAAACTAAATGAAGTTCTAAAATGAAAGGAAGCATTTATCAGGTTTCTTCAAAATGGTTTCTCAAAGGAAAATTTTGAAATTTCACTATTTAAAAAATATCAGAAATACTAAATAAAATTTTGGAAAAGTTTTAAGCAGGAAGTATATACTGTTTAGAAATGTTATGCTATGTTTCAAACACTTTGGATAAGTATTTCCACTGTGTAAAGGAAATAAATGGAAAATATCAGTGAAATCCCTCTGGCCCAGAAAGGGTTAAGAGTCAACTTGCAGGAAAACTGTTTGAATCTCTAATAATTTTTAATAATTGTATGAATTCTCTCCACAGTATTAAAACTTGAAGCCAAACTTGATGTTTTTGCATTAGATACTTAAGAAGATTATGTTAATTAGCTGGGGATTTTACTGGTCCATTGGGAAAAGTGTTTATCTGATTTCAAATAAAGTCATTCAAAATCATGTTTAATTCTCTGTATTGGATGTCATATAACTTTACTCATGTTATTTAGGAAAGAAAAAGTTACATATATGCTGTAATGTTTCCTCAACTATTGTGGTATAGAAAATGGCTAATGGAAAAGTAGAAATGTCACAATTTTACTTTAGTTTTGTTTAAAAAATTATCAACCAATGTCTTTACAAACTGAAAAGAGCATACTGAATCACAAAGATATGTAAATTTCTTCTGTTTGAAACATAGACAGTTCTTAATTAGCAAAGGAATACTTCTATATTATATTTTAATGTACTAATTGTATAGTATTTATTATAGTATCTAACTCTTTGATACTTTTTCTTGCTAGATTCAAGCAAAAGGTTAGTGGTAATTCACCAGAAGGCACTAGTGGGCTGTCTTCATGGGAACAGCAATGTCTATAAGATCCAGAAAGTTGCATTGTTGCCTTTAAATAAGCAAGATTCTCCAGACATTGACATAGAGGTTTGAAGTTATCTATTTCAGTGTTTAAAGGTTACCCTAGCTTAGCATTTTTAATTCACCTGATGCTTCATTGCAAAATTGTCAGGTGTGTTTTTACTGTTTTGTTTTAGCTAAAGCTTGTAATTTTAAATTGAAGTACATATTTATTTTTAATTTTGTTTGTTAAAGGTCAGACATATTTATGGAATACATTGTGTAACATTTCAACTTTTCAGTAAATGTAAATTACTGATGCACCATGCAATGCAGTTTGTAAGGTCATGAAGTCTTCATAAGTATTTAGGTATGGCTTTTGCTTTTATTAGATTGTAATAACACTACAAACAACAATGAACTATTTGGTCCTTCAAAACTGTCCTTTTGCACCCACCCCTGAGAAAAAATATAAATCCACTCTGTATTTTTCAAGAAGTCATATATTCCTTCTTAAGCTCTTTTGAGGTGCCTGCTCATTCCATAAAAGATGATCACCCTGTCAAAAAAATAAAGCTACTTTAACTGGAGCATTAGCTGTTTTTTCCAGATCTGAAAGTTACATCCTCTTATTTTATTTTATATATATATATTAAAGATTTATTTCCTTTTTCACCAAAGGTGAAAAATCATCTGTGACATAGAGACCTAATTCATTCCTTGATTGGCCACACCTCTATGCACAGATATTTTTGATTTTACCTTTTGTGAAAGAGGAAATGAATCTGTAACATGTATATATAATATACAATCATTAAATAGTTGGTCCTCTGTATAATACTGAATAATGAATTAGATGAAATGCCTTAATATTATTCACATACCTAAATTAATTTAGGTTACTATATGGTGAATTATATGGACTCATTTTATTATCCTTTGAATAAATTACAAGGAAATCAGAGAGATTATCATATTGATCTCATGGGTAATCTGTAAACTTCTTTCTCTTCTTTTCTCAAGAAAAATGATTTAAAAGATCTTAACCTACAGTATATCAGTAACTCTTTCATCCTTGTAATCATTCCAGTAACCCACCTCTGAACCATTTTCTATAAGTCAACATCCTTTCTTAGATAAGGAGACCAAACTTGTACATGGTGTTTAAAGTGAGGCCTAACTAGTGATTTGCATAGAGAAATAATTGTCTGTCACTTTTGTTTATTGAATGTGTTAGTCAAGTTTCAAGACATTTTATACAGAAGTTTTTTGGCATTATTCCATTAACTTTGATCATCATATGACAATATTTAGATGGGGCTGAAAATTTTCCCCAAGAATGTAAGTTAACAATGAGAAGAAAGAAAAAACATATGCTTTATGAACAAGCAAACTGGTAACACAGTTACCAAAACGTGTGGCAGAAAGATCATGTAGTGAAGTGCACAAACTTGAAATTGAAATCTGTTGTTTTATATAGAAATAATAAGCACCACAAGGAAGCTTTGGGGAAAAAACTAGCAAAACTGAAACTGTTCAAGGAAGTGGAAACAGGTGAAATTCTTGAATAAGAAAGTATTCATTTGTTTTGTAATACAATTGCAAAAAAAAGTAAACATGTGCCTTTTTACTGATTTCACCTGGATTTTTGAACAAGATGAAAAGAAGAGAGTAGATATTGGAAAAAAAATATATACACGAAAGACAAGCAAGTTGTGACATTTGCTCACTTTATGGCTAAATCTGAAAGAAGAAAGTTTGTGCACTTTTTAACTGAAGCTAAATTAATTTATGTGAAATGTGATGGATGTATAGACATTGCTTTGCAGGAGGAAGAAATTGTATATTTATGAGTGTGTGAAAAGGCATATTAGGACATCATTTCAAAGCACTGTTGCATTGGAAGTAACTGTACACATTATTTTGGCAATGCCCATTTGCCCTGGTTGCAAGCAAGTCTAACAAATTTTGTACTTGGAATACTTTACAGCTGTGTCAGCATCTCAGGCATAGATCAGAGCCATGTATGTTGATGTGGACCTTCTGTCAGTATTCATTTTAACATCCACAGCACAAAAGCTTAACATGTGACTGTTGGAGGTTTCATACTATAACTTTAACATTCTTCAAGCTTTTGCTAAATATTACATGTCTTTTGTAGACAAAAAAAATCAGAATTTTTAATTTTACTAAACATTTGTCTATGAATATATGGAGTCAGAGTGCTGACTTCTCCAAGTGTAAAGAGATTATCATCTTAAGATTAAAAATACTTTTCATCATCTGAAAATTTTCAAATTTAATTTGCAGAATCTCTAAAACATTCTAAATAAGTATCAAATATTTTTTTTTCAGAAAAACTTGTATTTTTCTGTTATTTTCTCTACTCTAACACTATATGGGAGAAGTCAATTTTATCAACCATAAAACTTTAATAGTTGAAAAATGTAAGTAGTACTGTTCTATTTGCTTTAGTATTGACCATGAAGCTCCAAAGTACTTCCCCTGAGAGTTTCTACTTCTGACCTTTTCACATCTGTTTCCTATGTTTAGTTTACTGTTTATGGCTGAAGTGGGAATCTGCCAATCATTGGTTTGATTTGGTTAAGGTCTAAAATATTTTAGATATTTTTTAGTCACTTTGGCATACACTGTAATTATCCTTAAAATACATGTATAAAGTCTCGTATACATGTTTGATTTTACAAAATATCTGCTAGCATAAGCATTTTCTTTGACTTTTAAAATAATATTTTAATCTACACAATGAAGTAAAACCTGGAGATACTATTACATGGCAAATAGATAAGTCTGTGTTTCTAGGTGACAGTCAATCCTATTATATAATTTAAAGAGCCAAACAAAGCCCTTATGGCAATGGGTGCTGCTAGCTATTGTGGATAATTTTTAATTGATGGTCTCTAACCTGGCCATTTAGCCTATGTGTACATAAGTTGCTGCTCAGGTTGAAAATTTAAAATTCCAATCTTTCATAATCTTTTGTAAAAATCTAGTACCATTGAATCTATACATTAATATATGTTAAAAAACGTGATAAAGATAAATAGTCCCTGAGTTAATTTAAACAGATAAAATACATTAAGGAAACAAAAAAGGCATATGCTTAAACATATAAAAAGTACAACAATAATAATTAATAGAACTTTCCATGGTTGAGGATAACATCATGCATTGCATTACAAGTTATCACTACCAAAATTCATGTCAAGCCTAACTGCTGGTATCAGTTGGCTTCACGGTCTTCCATGATGTAATGGTTACATGGTTGGACATCTCAAATTGGAAGAGGAATATATTAATCATCATTATTTTCTCAAGATGAAATAAAACTTTCCCAATTTCATGTCTTTTATAATATTAATGTGTAGGAAGAACACAGTCCAAGGAAATCAGTGATCAAAACTCATGAATTTAACAACATAATCTTAGCCAGTGATATCCTAGCTTTCAGATATGGCTGATGTCTTTACATTTTCATGTTATATGTAAATAACATGAAAAATGATAACATGTTTTCTGCATAGAATTGAGTAACTGTTGTTTCATTAAATTACCCTGTAATAATTATGATCTTTATTCAATTGTATCGGGTATTTTTAATATGTTTTTTGCTTTTTTGATGTTCTTATACATACATATGCAATATATAGCTTTGTAAAAGGTTTTGTCTTCATATTTCGTTTTCATGTTGATCCAGGCATGGCCTAGTAGTTAGGGTTGCTGGGCTGTGGCTTAGAAGGCTTAAGGCTCATGTAGTGATATGATGCTGAACATACTTCTCACTGTGTGTACATTATAAGAGTGAGAGCCATGTCACTGTAGGCAGCAGGTGCTGCTTGCTGGTTACTGCTCATCTCATCAGTAGTTTGAAATTCGGAACAATTATACCTGAACCTGGCTGTTTTGGCCATATGTTGCATAAGATGTTTTGGTTCAAACTGCCAAATGTTTATAATCTTTATAAAAGTGTTGTCCTTCATTCTAAGCACTTGTATAGTTTTGATTGTTTTTGAGTATAAATAAAGATTTGTTTTGCCTGTGATATATTTAAATACAGTATTATAAAGCTTCTTTCATTAGACTAGAATTTTTTACACTAACTGGCTTGTAATTTCCAGAGATAGTGTTATTACCTCCTTTAAAAATAGGAGCGACATTAGCAATTTTCCAATCCTCAGGCACATATCCAATGTTTACTAGGCTACCCAAAATAAAATGGAGAGGCTCACATGTCTGATCTTTGACCTTCTTTAAAACTCAGAGAAAAATTGTCTGTATCAGTTTTTTTATCTGTTTTTGATATATCTTTTTCTTCAAGATGTGTTATTGGAAATCACATGCATTAACAAAATTATGGTTATTTAATACATATAATACAAATAACACAAATAACAAAACCAGAAATTATTGCTAACAAATAGTTTGTTGTAAAAAGTGCCAAGGAATACATTGTACTTGACTGTATGTATGTAACCTTTTTTCTTATCAATGATAGGAAAGCCATTAAACAAATTGACAAGCTTTTGTATCTTCATGGACAATAAGTTAAAAAGTCGGTCTTGATTATTGTGTGCTTGTAATAAAAAAGAGCAGCTTTCTGTTTTGTGAATTTTTACCCTCATTAATTTTAGTCTAGCATCAAGTTCACCTTATAAACAGTGATGCTACAGCATGGATTAAAAACTACTTTTTAGTTCAAATGTGACTTACAAGCCTAGCATTATGACCTTTCTTTGTAAAGTTTTTTAAATGTTGTCAAACAGCCAACAGAGCTTCACAAAGGGAAGATTCTGTCTTACTAACCTATTAACTTTTTTCAAGGATGCTACTTCTTATTTGGGTGAGGATAAAGGGGTGAATATGATTTGGTTTTAGGAGTAGGGCCAACTAAAAGATGGGTAAAAAAAAATTACATTAGCTAGAGTAGAAGATACAGTAAGTTAGTGAAATGGGTGGAAGTGAAAAGTTGTTATAAATTGAGTTCATTCTAACTGGACTAATGTTACAAGCAGTATATTTCAGAGATCTCTACAGAGACTGTTGCTATTCCTCATATATATATTGATGGTGTTGTTAGGAGTATATGTAGGAAATTGGGTAAAATTATCATTGTAAAAATTTTAGGTTTGGTTGGCTCTAACTTTAGAGAGACTTAGATTGGTTGGTTAGTTAGATAATCACATGACAGATGGTATATAGTTATGATAACTATAACATTATATATGTGAGTTGTAATGTAAACTACTTGTATAATTTTAATTTTTTTTCAGAATGAGAAGAGTTATTTTGGAGTGTTGAATGATATAAGCCTTTTAGATTGAGTTTTATTACAAGTGGTAAAGGTAAAGTTTTTGGTTGCATATAGAGGAATATCAACTGCAAGTCTAAAGAGGCCATGGTTTCTTTATATAAACCACTAGTTAGGCCACTGTGTGCAGCTTTAGTTCCCTTATCTTAGAAATGACAGTGAGTTGTGAGAATGGATTAAGAGTAGGGCTGCTAAGATGATCCTGGTGATACATTGTCGATAGGTTGAGTTTTCTTGTTTGCTCTCTTGAAATTAAAAGGGTCATAGATGGGCTAATTTAAGTATTCAGAATAATTAAGTGAATTTGTAAGATTGATACATCAGATATATTTGTGTTAAGTTCTGAGGGTATGAGGAAAAGATGTAATGAATTTAAGATTTGGAAATCAAACACATCAGTTGAGGTAGTTATATACCTTTGGTAAATCTTTGGAATAAATTGCTACTGTAGTGGAAGAAATTGCAACTTTACACAGAGTTGAAAAAAGGTTGAATATTTGGGGGATTGGAGCTAGATTTTTTTGTTTTCTGTATGTTGAGAGAGACTAGTAGTCAGGATGACCATGATGAATTAAAAGGCAGGTCTCTTTATACTATGTCGTTTATTAACTCTTTAAATCCATCATTTGTTGTGTGTTCTTCTGGAATTAATTTCATGATTTCCTAATAATTATCACCATACCTTTATAAAACTTCAATTTTCTTAATTTTGAGGATAACAACATGGTTTGAATTAGTTTTCAGCCAAAGAGACATAAATGTTATTGGACACTGTTACAGTCCAGTGGGTAAATTGGGATTTTTGGCTGGACACTGGCTGCATCTGCTTGGGTTTAAAGAGTTAAGAATAAGAAAGTCAATAAATGATAAATAATGTCATAAGTTGAAAAAATGTTATTAAACTTGTGTTGTTCTTATGAACTAACTGTTTTTAAAATGTTTCCTTCTATAGCCTTGTAAGAAGCATCATGCAAATGTCCTAACACCAGAAAGGCAAAGTATAACTCCAGACATTCCCACCCTTGGTTTTCAGAGGACATGGAACACTATTAAGACAGCCACAGCCCAAGTGAAACCTAGAATAGTATGTGGTGCCTTCATATTCAGTAATTTTGTAATTATTTTTATATGGCTATTAAAAATCAAAATATTCAAAGGCATGTGTTGCAAGATCCATTTTTCATGTGTTAATTAAAATATTTGCTTGAAGGGACTGACAATTTCAATGATATCAAGAATCTAGTAATTTCAGACAATCCCTAGAGACAAGGGTACATTGCTTACAGCTACAAGTAACCTATTAGTGATGAGTAGTGAGTAATAAATGAAAAGTTAATGTTCACCTAGTGAGTACTTAGTGAGTTTATGAGATCTGTGTCAAAAAGTTACTTACAGTTCATTGATAAAAGTAAATAAGATTATTTCTGAGATAGGGGTATTGAAAGATTGTCTCAAAATTTCTGTTGAAATGTTGTTTGTGGGCTTATGCTTACAATTACAAGTGAAATTAGCTGGTTGCAAATGTTAGGTAAGAAATAAATTAACTTCTTGTTGCTGTGTGGAATGTATCTGGCATTATTTTTACAAACAGTAGAACACATTACAACACATGGTTACATCATTAAATATTTTTAACGTGGAGTTATGCTTAAACTTTCTTTTTAAAATGCAGTCTATAAAACATTATGTATTTAAACATAATTTGTTTAACCATTTGTTGGCTGTCACATCTGTTTCTTGGCTGTCTTCATTGAGAACATTGTTATTCTTGCCTTTAAATGCATAGTGACATTTGTGGCATAGAAATTACATCATCTGGAAAGAGATAAAAATAAAAATGCAGAACTACATTATCAGATTAAAACTATATAGTCAATTTGGTAGTTCCTATTATAATATATATATATATATATATATATTTTACACCTGTTACTAGGTGACTAAGTTGCAATATATTTTTTTGTATTTGTTTAAATATTAAAATCTTATCCTTTTATCCCTTTCCAAGTTATCCAGCCTACATCTTCCTCTATTGACTTTCCTGCAGGAATTGTTTGCTGTACACCTCCTTTCTAATTAATTCTTGGGGATTTTCATGGGATACCTTCCTCAGCTTTACCTCCATGTTGGAGTGATTGCCATCTTTGGCTCTTTCCCTACACATGTGGCTTCTTTGCTTTTGGGATCTTCTAGGGTGGGACACTGTCTTGTACCAAGTTCGTTTACTGTCCACTTCTGCTTCAGACTTATGGCTGGCTTTTTTTTTTCACTGGTCTGTTTTTTTGGGGGAGGGTTACTTCTGAATCTTTAGCATCACGCGGGGTATCTGTGATGCTCCATTCTAATTTTTTTTTTTTTTTTTTTTGGTCATTGTTTGTCTCATTCTGAGCCATTGCATTCTTTATTCATGTTCCATGTCTGGCACCTTCCCATCATTTACCTGTACTATCTCTAAGGGTTCCTCCATTTGTCTTGTATTCTCGATGCTGATTGGAGATCTGTGATCAACCTGTCCCACCTCAATCACTTCTTGGTTCTTTCCAGTTTCACTATGTTATTGTTTATCACACTCTGGTGGGCCATTTCTCCAGGACTAAAGATGCCCACGTTAGATGTTTCAAGTTCTTATACTCATTTTTATATTTTTCATCCCTTTTGATGCTATCTTAGGTTGGGAACCAGTTTTGTGCTTTACCCTTTGACCTTGTTTTGAATCTATCAGGTTTTTGTTGGTTGGTCAGAGTTTTACCTGACTTCAGCATGATAGGGGATTGTACTTACACTGGTCATCTGGCCTCTGTTAAATCATTCCTTACTGGAGTTGTCACAACATATTCACCTTCTTCTTATCCACACTGCTTGGATGGTTGGATTTTCCAGTTGGAGAAGTCTTTCCCATTATCTACCTAACATTCTTGTCATCTGGGGGTGTTTTTTTCAACACCTATATCTGTTGGGCCCATCCTTCTCCTCTTTGACTGCTTTTGATGGAATGTTCATTACTGTTAACTATCGTACTGCTAGTGAGGTTCTGTCACATTGAGGGATGTGGCTTCTATGGAAGCACTTATCCCCTTAAGTCTGGCAAATATGCGACTTCGTCAGGGAACATTGTATGATAGGGTTCCTTTGGATTCCCCTCATAACTTTTCTCCTTTCCTCTTTGATGATATGCATTGGTGTTTGAACAAAGTCCCCATGTGGTTGAGACCACTTCATCCCTCTTGTCCAGATTTGTTTACCTTCCCTAATGCTTTCCTCCAGAGTTGGTGGAAATGGGTCAATCAGCATGAAATGGGTCAATCAGCATGACAATAGTATATGGCTGAAAGAAGGTCTTACCATGTTAACACGCTAGAACTTCCAGCAGTCCAATGTGCTTTGCTTCAGTTTCTTCCTCTTGTCAGGATTCGACTAATCTTGATCCATTCCAACAATTTGCCAGTGGTGGCTTATATCACTCACCAAGGGGACACTGTTCTAGGTCCCTTTGTGGTCGACCTTAAATCTCCCTTTTCGCACTTCTTTTTGTGTGTCAAGTTCTGGGTGTTTTCACCCTCATTGCAGATCACCTTTACAGTCCAGATCCACTTTATCCCATGGAGTGGTCTCTCGATCCTCAAAAATTTCCAGTGGCTCTGACTCTAGTGGGGTACTCCTCAGCAGGATGCTTTTGCCTCTTTCCTCAATTCCTAGTTATATCTTTTTTTGGTCTTCGGTTCCTCATCCACTCGCTCTGGTTATCTATGCATTTAGACAGGATTTAGGCCAGTTTATACCTTTATTTCATCATCGTGTCTGTCATATTCCTCAGGTAATTTCATTCATCCATGCCACTCTGTGTCAGGTCTTTCTGATTGCTGTTTCCTGGCTGGCACAGACCTGGTTTTCTTGGCTGCTTCAGCTCGATCCATTCTTTTTGTTCTGGATCGATTTTTCCTAATCTACACTTTGACAACTTGTGTGGCATGTTCTTCCTTTTCATTTCCTTCCATCTTCCACCTTTATTTCTGGTCAGAGCTGGATGGCCTTTTATGTCCTGTACATGCTTTTGGTTATTTAATTGCCTTTAAAGCTTCTTTCTGTTGGTTCCCTTCCCCACAGTTTCATTCTCTGGCACCACTTCTCTGTTTCTATAGTACCAATTGAATTCTGCTTTTGATTTGTTTTTTCTTCCTTTTCTCCTTTTCCCCATAATTACTTCCTGGTGTCTTCACTCTGATAAGGTACCTTACCTTTTACCTGCATCTCACCTCCATTGTTTGCTGGAGGTACTTCTTCCATCAAGCACTGGGACTAAACCTCATACATTTATCTCTCATTATCTGCTTCAGGTAGCTGTTTCTTCCTCATTGGGGTACTGTCTTTCACCTGCCGCCATCCTTCACTCTTTGGTGAGACTGTGACTAAGTAAGTTACCTTTTTGTATACATATGTCTCCTTTTTGAGGAGCATGTATTTTTTTCTTTAAGGATCCCACTCTGTAGCAAGTGGTGCCTATCCAGGTATTGTTAAAGTAGTAAAATCCTCACTGTACAGTCATAATGACTTCACAATTATAACTTCCATGACCATAACACACACACTGTTGAGATGGGGTGTTCCACAAGATCACTTGTAGGATTTTTCCCATGATATATCTGCTTCATTAATATGTCCATTTCATACCGTACTAACCCATGGACTTGTTGGGTAAAGCAGAAGGGGATAGCTGCCCATCCCGACCATTCCTTAGATTGAAATATATCAGGAATTGTTTGCTTTTCAAAACAGGGTTTTTTCATGGTCACCCGTTGCACTGTCTCTGGTATTGATGTTCTTCCAGACTTTCCACTACATTTTCTCCCACACCTTTTTTTTCCAGTGGAGTACAAAAGTCTTACTACTTTCCAGTTCCAAGCTGCTGGAGTGCTGGACCATGGAGGTATCCTTCTGAATGTGATAATGATATCTAATACAAAAAATATTGAATTCATTCAGTTGAGAATAGGGTGGTGGTGTTCTGCTGGTGTAGATGATATGGCCTCCAATCTGACGCTCCATCTCTGATTGAATATATCAGAGGGGATGTTGTAGCTGTGGAGTGAGCCATCAAAATTGAAGTTCACCCCTTTGATTGGGGTCCCTCATTTTACCACCACATGGATGTCAGTTCCAAGTGGCTGGGTTTTGGATTCAGAGCAGGACCAATCAACATAAGTCCTCACACCTGTATTACTGGTGTGTCTGTTCTCTCACTCAGTTGGCCTTATGTTCATTGCTAATGTGTTGTGGGACACAATGGATAAACATGTAGGTTGCTACGGTTCTTCCTCTTGTGCTTCCCCTCGAAGATTAACATATACCGAGGCTAATACTCTGCTGGGGGTTGTTCCTGTCTGATTGATTTTGAGTGGTATATTGCACAATATAGGAACATTTTGATTATTCTGATTGTCCACATGTCAGGTTCCAAAATCAGTAATTTCTTATCAATTTGCTCACATATGCCCTGTTAATAGATTGGTGAGCATGATATCTCTCCCCAGTTTGGTCTGCTGAACTTGAGGTGAAGACAGTATGATCCTCTTTCCTACCCTCACCCGATGGCTGGGTTTTGGATTGTAGTTGACTTGCTGATGGTATAATCCTCTTTCCTACCCTCACATGTATGTCGGTTCTTGTTAGCTAGGTTGGGATTGTAGTTGACTTACCGACAGTATCGTCCTCATCCTACCCCCACATGGATATTGGTTCTCAATGACTGAGTTTTGGATGCAGTTGACTTGCTGTGTAGGGTCTGTCATGCCCAAGCCACTCTCTGCCTTGGGGCACATCCATTTTCCTATCACCCATGTTACTGATGTTGAAGGGATTGAGACTCCAGTTTCAGGTGGTTTGGATCTCTATCCAACCATTGCTCTCTCCCTTTTGACTGTGCTCCTCTCATTTTCTGCCTATGTTTACAACACCTCTTTCCACACTGGGCATATGGTATACCTTGTACATATGTGGTGCAGTCTTCCACGTAGGATCCTCAACTGTGAGGATCTCCACTCTTTGGGTGATGTTCGAACACTTTCGAAGGGTACTTCTTTCTTTCTCTTTCACCAGTCCATCCACCTATTCAGTTTGGGATTCTAGCTTTATCTGTGAGAAGAGGTAAGTTACTGTATCAGAAGTTATAGTTTTCCTATACTGAAAATGTATTTCGAATAGGTACTCACCCTCTCTCACCCTTTCTTTCGACTGAAAACCAGTGCTTCCATCTTCTGCCAAAACACAAAGTGATTGTTCGGTAGAACCGAAGAGAGGGGTTAACTATGTCAGGAAGGAGTGTTGCACTCCTCTTGGAGGAGTTTGTCGCATGATGATTTATATGTGAAATGCATTTGAACTACGTTGATCATGGGATACGTGGGAGCTCAAGGTTTGTAGCATGCAAAAAACTGGAAGTGGAGGTAAGTATCTATTGGAAATACATTTTCAGTATAGGGAAATTATAACTTTGCTTGTTAAATCAGGATACTAATTTTATAATAAAAGTAAAAGAAATATTTTTGTCAATTTATTGTTTTCTTTGTGATTTTTTTATCTATATATATTTAACTCTCAAATGCTTGCATGTGTCAGTCGACATGCCTATTCTTTGGTTTGCAATTTAAAAAAAAATATTTGATAAAATTTTGAAATGGCAGATGAACATTCTACAGATTTTGTAGCATCTGCAAGTAAAATATCATACTTCTTTATTTCATGATATCAGAAAAACACGTAGGTTCAAGAAATCTTGATACAAAATGATAAAAGCTGTATAATCTGAGCACTTTCAAAGGGTGGACCTTTCTTCTTCAGGAGCAAACTGAGAATGGTGGTGTAATCGAATGATTGATATATATAAAGGGAGTAGAGTGATATCATGAGGGTTATCTGGTCTTCCAGGAAATGTTTAATATATATTTCCATGTACTGTTGTAAGTGTGTCTCATTTCTGCTTCAGTGTGACTGGCGACAAGAGCATTATGTAAAAAGGTGTTAGGGATATTTTACTTTACTATTCTTCACACATCATACCATCTTTGACTAAGTAAGTCTATCTTTTTTTTTTACCCTCTTTTTACAGAGTCTTCTAGTCCCTTACACAATTCTGCTTAGTGGCCCAGAAGCCAAATACCCAATGTTGCCTGGTGTTGGACTTGAGTTGATCCACCACGTACTATCTGATGCACCATAGCCATGCTATACATATAGCACTTCCAAAAGCCTGATACAGGTTTTGGACTGTACTTGTATCTTCAACCTGTCCTTGAGACACTTCCCTTTCTTTCTGGGTGAAGAATGTACCCTGGTAGAAATGAGGTGCAGTTTCCCACAAGTGTGTCCCCATACTGTTGGATTCTAGCTAGATGTAAATAGATGTTACTTATTGTATTAGAAGTTAACATTTTCCAACAATGATACCTCTTCTCATTCTTCCTCCCTACTTCTGGTCATCTTACTTTATTGCATGATCTCAAAGTGATGATTGAACAATCATTATAGAGGGAGCCAGCTGTGCTAGGAGATTGTATTGCACTTCTGTTGGTGAAGGATTGTTACATGCTCACTTATATGCAACAGTGTGGCAATATCACATGTGATGAGCTGGGATCCTCAAAGCTAAAGTAGAATGAAAAAGTTTGCATACAGTTTTGGACTGTGCTTGAATCTTCCACCTGTCTTTGAGCCACTTCCCTTTCTTTCTGGGTGAAGAGTGTACACTGGTACAAATGAGGTGCAGTTTCCCACGAGTGTGCCTCCATACTGTTGGATTCTAGCTAGATGTAAATGGAGGTTACTTGTTGTATTGATAGTTAAAATTTCCTAACACTGAAAATGTATTCCTGATAGATACCTCTCCTCACACATCTTACCCTTCCTCCCCACTTCTGGTGCATCTTACTTTCTTGTATATTCGCGAAGTGATGATTGAACAATCAGTATAGAGAGAGCCAGCTGTGTTAGGAGGTGGTGTTGCACTTCTGTTGATGAAGGATTGTTGCATGCCCAATTGTAGCAATATCACATGAGATTAGCTGGGAACCTTAAAGTTAAAGTAGAATGAAAAAGTTTGCATACAGAGGGCATTACTGAATCTGGAAAGCTAGATGTGAGAAGAGATATCTTTTGAAAATACATTTTCAGTGTTTGAAAATGTTAACTTTAATATATCTAATAATTTTTAAACCCATTTTATATTAATTTTGCACTTATTTTTGATGATTCTTCTTGTCCATACAAGTACTTACTCAGTCCAGTAAGGCTTAAACTAGACAAGGCTTAACATAGCAGCCTTTTCAGCAAAATCAAACTTGTATGGTCCAGTGCAGAATGATTTTAGTAAGCATATCTTGTTCCATGGAAAAAATTTATTTTCCTCTCCTACTTCAACATCATAATTCAAATTAAGTACTTAGTGATAAAGATTTATAAAAACAATTAGGACTGTACTTGTAGTAGAAGTTGTTCATAAATATATTCTATCAATATATCATCAAGCTAAGTTTTGTCACTTTGATCTGATCTCCATATGAAGCTTTGTTGAACAGGAAGGCATTTTAACTTGTATAGTTGAAAAGTACAGAAAAAAAAACCTTTAAATGTATAGATCACTAGCCTATGGCTTTGTAAAGCATAGATATAGGCAGTTACAGTAAACTATGGCAACAGAAGTTGAGAAACTGATTTGTTAAAATGGAGAAAAACTACACTTGTACTGAAGTTACAACCAATTATCAGTTATATGTATGTGGGTTTTAATACTGCAAGTGTTTGAGAATCAGTCAGTTCTCTTTCACCCAACTTATGGCGTTATATGTTTGATTTATTTGGGTGGGGGGATAAATAAATAAAAAGTAAAATGAAAGATAAATAAGTGAGTGGTAAAATTGTACTAAGTCTGACAGAGCAAGAAGAGGCAGGTAAGATGGTGGTCAACAGCAACTTAACAAACACTTGACTGGGATATAAAGATCCAATGCCATGAATTTAGATTGTTTGGGGAAAATGGGAGAACCTTGAGAAAAATCCATATTTACTCATAAGGTGCCAGTAAATCTATCCAACCAGTTCCCAAGATGTTAGGTGGAAAGATAAAATCTGAAAAGAAAGCATACAAAGGGTGAATTGGGTGATAGAAAACAGTTACGTTTACATGTTGCTACTGTGGGTGGTTAGATGCTACATGTTGTTTTATCAGATTAAAAGGAGATATATATATATTTTTTCCATGAGAATGGATGGTTGCTATGGTAGCAAATTGTGCAAACAACGTTGTAAGGTCAAATTGGTGCTATTTGTTCAAAATTATTTGAACTTTTCTCCTAGGAGACTATAAGTGCTGTATTATGCTCTGAAAAAACTCAGGAAATTTTCAGACACACTTTTACATTTGGAGCATGCTGAAATCAACCCAAAATCAATTTTTTAAAAAATTAATTTAATTCTATCTATAGAATTAAATAAATCAATCTTTTAAATATATTTCCACTCTGAATATTTGTTAATATTTGGAAGAATAACGACAAGTTCTGTTTAAATATTTTAAATTCATTGTGTAGTTTTGCTCTTGAGGCAGGATACACCCATTTAAGCATACTAAGAACTAAGGTAAAATACATTGTTTTTATCAGCTTTTTTTATGTTCAAAATGTAAAATATTTGTATTTTCAGTTGTTTTTTTGTTTTTTCTTCTAGAGAGAAACTAAAGACAAATTGGAGAAAAGAATACTAACAGTGAGTATGTTTGGACTGAAATTAGGGATATGGCTGATATATGATACAATTTCTAATTGTTAATCATGACTAGAAAGCCTCCAAATTAATATCTGAATAAAACAAATCACTTTACTTTGGTTAGAGAAGTACTAATTACTTAAGTGTGCTCTTTAGGGAAATTTTGACCTGAAATCTTAAAACCTGCTGCACAGTAAGTCTTGTGCTATTCATCCACCCAGCCTGAAGAACCATAGCAAACTATGAACAATGAAGAGAAAGAGAGAGGATGCAAACATGCATATTTGAAACTAGTTACATAACAAAACTTTTAAATTTTGCCTTAATGAGATGACAAAATTTCACTTGAATGTAGTTAAATCGCACTGTGGTACAATATTTAAATTACACTAATATTAGTTTTAATTAAAGACAAAGTAAACTTTACTGAGACCAGTTGCATTGTTGGTGAGTATAGTAGCCTCAAAGTGTATTTGTGAATTGTAGGAGTCCCACATTGTTGTACAATCTTAGCACTCATTGTGGAAAATAATATGATAATAGATTTATATTTTATCTGATACTCAATTTACATGGCTGTTGTTTTGTATGCAAATGCAAAATGTAGTTTAAGTCTTAAATACTAAGTAAGCACATTTAGCTCAATCCTCAAGCTGTCAGTCAGTAAAGCTGAACCTAATTTAAGCATCATGATGCATATCATAAAACAGGTTATGCCAAAGCTGCAGTATATAATTGAAATAATCTGCTATATTGCCCTAAAATTACATTGTTTTTCACTAAAAGTTGTGCTTTCAAATCTTCTGCTAAAAAGAACATTCAGAAATGTGTTGAAATTGACTTTAGTTCAGCTTCTGAGAGTTTTATAAATATAATAATATTTATTATCTAAGTACACTTTATAAAAATATCAAATTAGAACATTTAATTGTCATTAAAGAAGATATTGGCTGCTTATTATTGTTTTAACTGATCTAGGATTAGATTGATAACTTTTTAGGTTTTTGTAGCTTCTATTAATATGGTATCAAGTTTTGAATACTTTGACTCTGTAAGTGAATGCCTATCATAGTGAAAAAAGTTTATTCAATTAACTATACTTAATACCAAATTTAGTTTTAGTTTTGATCTAAGCAGGTGACTTGTGCTGATTGGAAATTAATATTAATAATTTTATTTTTTTAATCATTGTTTAATCCTCTTGACATGGGCATCCTTTACTGCACATGTCATGAGGTTTTTAGTGAGTTACATTCAAAAATTAAGTAAACTAATATTTGTTTAGGTTATACCCTGACCAAAAAATTAATATAGTGATAAACATAACTAACATTAAATAGATTAATTTTTTTTTCAAAGTTTATGTAATAAATGTACTTATGACTATACAACAGCTGCAGGTTTAACGTGGATGATGACAAATTTTGCCCCTCTCCTTTTATTTCAGGAACTTTTGAAGATCTTTAATGAGACTGATTCCTTCTACTATTCTGTGACTTGGGATCTTAGCAATAGCCTTCAACGTCAGAACTTTCAGAATACTACTCCTTGCCTCGAAGGAATTCCTCTCTGGAGACGAGTTGATGATCGTTTTTTCTGGAATAAAAACATGCTTAATGATCTGATAGATTTATGGGTAAAGTATTTTCTTTTGATTATTGGTATGGTATAGGAATATAACATTTAAAACTAATTTTCCAAGTTGCATTCATTTATTTTATTTTGTTAGGATATGTGTCTACATCTTGAATGATGTTCTTATTGATTCATAGTTATCATGGAAGCTAGTTGATGTTTTATATATCCTTAGACTGGATCTTAATTGCTGAACAGCATTACCATTGTCTAGTGCTCTAATTTAGTTATATTTTTTGTAGTATCATATTGGATCTGATTGTTCTTCAGTATTATTGTATATCAATAGAGGAGTTTGTTATGTTTTGTGTCCTTTAAATGGATATTCATTGCTATACAATTTTATGATCCTAGTTCTTTGGTTAAATGTGTGTTCTTTGAATGGATCTTTACTGTTATATAGCATTATAGCTTAATTTTTTGGTGGTTCTGTAGTGTTGTATTTGTCATTTGAAATGGTCTGTAAATTTTACATGCTACCATAGTTTAGTAGTATTTGGGCTCACACATATTTTATATCTTTTTTATGTGTATCTTTATTGTTAGAGATCTGCATTTCCTAAACTGTGGGCTGAGAAATGTAAAATGTTAATAATTTATTTTTTTTCACAATAAATAGAAATCTCTTAAGTTTCACATAAAATTAAAATGCTGTTACAGCATTCTGACAATCTTCACACTAGAGGCAGCAATATAGTACACTTTTTTAAAGTTGTGACATGCAGATGTATCATACATTTTCTACCTGATTTTAGTAATATAAGAATTAAAAAAAAAATGTTATTTAGTTTTAATGTAACTTTAGCATAAATATGTGGTTCAGAAAATTATTAAATTTTGCTTTGTTCTGTATAGTAGATTATATCTACTCTGCCCCAGGAGATGTTATAGTGTACTTCACTTAAGTTTTAAAAAAGGTCAGTGACTGCAATGACCTTTGCTGGCTAGTCTTAATACTGTGAAAGAACAACAGTCAAGCAAGAAAAAAAAATAGAAGTTTCTTACAAAATCAAAGTAACTATTCTCTTGACTATACCTGGTCTTCATTTTGACTAGCTGCTCACCAAAGATTTTATACAAGTATGTATGCTGCATATTCTTTTTGATTGTTTATATACTAAATAAACATTGTACTCATTTTCTCTCAAACTTGTCCAATATTTTAATTTTCTCACACAAAATTTAATTTCAGTCAAGTTTTCAAATACAGATTACTCTGCAAGTTTCCTGTTTGATCCTGATTTTTAAGCATATCTGTCTGATACCCATGCAGAAATCAGTTTTATCTGAGAAAATCCACAAGTATATAAAAAGGAGATATTTTGTGCAGAGACCACAGGATTCATTACTGAGTTTCTGTCAGTGTGCATATTAGCCCTAGCTTAATCTTTTGAGGTAAAGGTTTAAAGGAATGCACTTACTGATAGATGGCTTATTCTGGATGTAGAAGTACTTATGACCAAGAGGAAGAGTTTGCTGCTTGAGAGAGATGGCTGGAGGAAAGAAGTGTCAAATATAGGAGAAGCTCTCTCCATGACATAGGACTTTTGCCTATGTTGTGAGGCTCAATGACAATAGGTAGCCTGCAAGTGCAGACTCAGCGGGATTTTCTCACGTCTGGACTACCCAAACCACTTGAACAAACAGTACCTCTGAAAATCTAGCTCATTAGAAGGGAAATGCCAGTAACTGAGAGTTGTAAAAATGAAAAGGTGCCTGGTGAGTCAAAGATTGCATGAGTAGGCCTCTATAGGACCCCTAGGCTGTTAGCAATCAAAGCACCCCAACCACAGCTCTGGACCAAAAAGGCTAGAGATGCTTCTGGTGGATGGCCTCTGCCAGTTAGGGCTGTTTCACCATCAAGTGAGACAATGGGCACCTACATTTTTAGAGCATGAATCATAGGGTGATGTGCCTTTCAGGATTAAAATGTTCCCTGCTACTTTTACAGTGGCTTGTGATACCTTGAGTCATACAGGTCCACATGAGTAGTTGCCCTGAGTAGCTCATTGATCAGTCACCCTGTACCAGGGAACAACCACACATCTATTTGTACAACTTGCTGTGAACAGCTTCTATCCAGTACTAACAACACTTGGTGGCACCTCCACCTGGCATTAGTTGGGATCCTGAAAGGGAAACTCTAGCCAGCTTCACAGGTCTCTGCAAGCAAAGCCAAACAGCTAATGTCCTCGATGTATAAAGATGTAGCAAAAGAGTACCTAGAACAAATTCCTAAAGCAATTCAGGCAGTTACCTGCCTCTTAAGTATATAGCTTAGAAAATCAACCTGGCAATCAGTATGGCTAATTAAGTATACATATATTAGATTTCTACTTATAAAGCTTAAAATGTATGATTTCATTAGTTGGATACTCTTATAGTTAACAACATTTTCAGCACTAATCCCATCTTAGATTTAAGATAATGCTAGATACATATATTAAGCTAACAATGCAAATCAATTTTTAAGCTTATAATAATGTTAAACAGTAAACCAAAATAAAAATTCATGAAATTTGATATACTAATAGTATAACCAATATTGTTAATGAAAGTAACAATAAGTAAATAATATAGTTTACCTAGGAAACACAAACTCTAGCTATCTGCTTGAACATAGAAAACAAATTATTTTGAAAATGTGGACTTAGCATAACATACGTTTTCTCCATTCCTCCCTGT